CTATGCTATTATCTTGCTCGGGAACAATTATCCTTAGGTGCCTAAGGGCTATTTGCAGAAGAGAAGCAGTGTTAGTAAGAGAAGGAATCTTAGCAGAGAATGAACCTTCCTAGAGAAATGCCCTGCAGGCATTCTGCGGGCAGGAGAAGTGAAAGAGTCAGAGTGAGCGGTCCGTGAAAGAACGTACGTACGTATGCTCCCTGACTGCCTTCTCCTGCAGCTTCTTATAGATGCAATCTCGTGGCTCTTGCACCACAGGTGTAGAGACTGCCAGTCCCTGATGCTCTCATCTCCAGAGCTCTCATGTTCTCATATTGAGAGCCGAAACCCTTCCCCATGCCCTTATCACCAAGGTGTTATATTACTGAGATGTTACAGGTGTTTCTTATGATTACTTAGTGTTCCGAGCTTCTAGCTTGCTTCTCCTTTCCATGTGCTATCCATATACTATATGGTATACTACTATGGGAGTCACCTCTGGAGACAGAAAGTCTACTATGATGCCTAGATATTACTTTGAAAGAAACCCCCCCTTTCTTTAAAAACAAAAAAACACCTTTTTTTTTTTTTTAAGATAGAGTTTCACTCGGTTGCCCAAGCTAGAGTGCTATGGCATTAGCTTAGCTCACACCAACCTCAGACTCCTGGGTTCAAGCAATCCTCCTGCCTCAGTTTCCTAAGTAGCTGGGACTATAAGCATCCACCACCATGCCCAGATAATTTTTCTATTTTTAGTAGAGACACGGTCTTGCTCTTGCTCAGGCTGGTCTAAACTCCTGAGCTCAAGGGAGCCTCCTGCCTCCACCTCCCAGAATGCTAGGATTATAAGCATGAGACAATGTGCCCAGCCAAAAATACTATAAACACTACCTTTCCCCACCCAATTGGCCCCCAGGCAAAATGAGAGGCCTAAGTGGGTGACCAGCAAGGTATGTCACTTGCTGGGTTCTGAGTTGGTAAACTCGGGATCAGGGAAATGGAGAACTTACTGCCCCAGTGAAAAACTCCAGTCCAGTGAACTGGAGGGTGTTCTTTTCAGCCAAGGTTAACTGAGGGATTACAATGAAACTGAAGTTCACGATGAACGAGAAGATGTTGAACTTCAAAAGCCATCTCAGAAAGTTGAAATAGGAGAGGACGCTGGTGCCGAACTTGCCTCCGATGACCTTGAACCTCTTCTGCCATAGGCTGAAGGAACTGAGGATTTCCGACAGGCTGTTCTTGGATTTCTGATAAGCCTGGAGTTGGGTGGGATGCAAAGTGGATGGCTTGATATTTACGCAGCAAACATCTACTGAGCAGGTAACCTAATGGCAAACATTCCTAGAGCAGTACTATGTGCCGGGCAGGGTGCTAAGCATGTCTACAAATTTTAACTCATTTAATCCTCACGACTACCCTCTAAGGTGGCATTAACTTCCCAGGTTTGCTGTTGAGGAAGGCGTTACTTCAAAGGCCCAGACGGCCAACTAACCAAGCGTCCTCTTAGATTTTCCTTCTGCCTGGCTGGTTTCTCCACACTGATATCGACCTAATGGCTCCAAGCAAGGAAATCACCCTGAATATTGATTCATCTTTCTCTTGGGCCCCTTTCTCCTCATTTTCCTCCCTCCTTGTTTTCACTCTCTTGCTGTGCCCATTCTCCTGACTGTGAAAAAGCCTGACTTACCTGTGAAATGGAGTTTATACACTGAGCACAGCAATTGAGCTCACGCCTGCGATGGGACTGTTTACTTTTTTCTTTGTCAACTGTTTTCCTGTGGGGAAAAGTGGAAGAAAATGAGAGATACCAATGTTGTAATTCATTCATTCAAGAAATAGTTACTGAGCGTCCATGATGTTCCAGGCACGGTTCCAGGTGGTAAGAGATCAATTTTCTTGGCCCATGGAGCCAACATCCTTGTTGGGATGGGAAGGGAAAGACAATAACCAATAAACATCATAATACAATGGGCAAACTATAGAGTATATTAAAGGTGATTTGCACCATTAGAAAGAAAAAGAAGGCTCAGCGCCTGTGGCTCAAGTGGCTAAGGCGCCAGCCACATACACTTAAGGTGGTGGGTTCGAATCCAGCCTGGGCCCGCCAAACAACAATAATGACTGCAACCAAAAAAAATGGCCAGGCATTGTGGTGGGCACCTGTGGTCCC